GGAGGTCTGATCGCACAACCACACATTATTTTGCCCCGGAGCAAACAGCCACGCTCCCCCCCCGCATTTTCCGGCCCATGTGACCGGGGCCTGGGTTCATTTTTCACAAGAGGAAAGCAAAATTGAAATAGGGCTATTCCATTCTAGTGAGCAAGCTTTCAAAAAATTCAGTCTCATTCCTACTTAGGAAGTAAAGACATTGTCTTAAGAATGTTGATCCAAAATGTATTCATACTAAAAGGTTACATGGATCATAGTACAGTATAGAAGTACAAAAAGATAAATAGAATGGGTTCATAGAATTCAGAAGAAACAAAATCATGTAGTACTTTTTATTGAGGCAGGCCAACCCAAATGACACACAAAACATTGTATAAGTTTTTGAGATCTACAGAATCCTTTATCAGGCAGATATTTTTAAAAAATAACATGTAGGAAAATCAAAATTTGCAAAGAGAACTGTGATTCTTGAATGAGTTTGGGATGACATATGGGATTTGCTGGACTCTGGATTTTTCCCCAAATGAGATGATTGTCCATTATTTGTTTCTTCTTCCCAGAACGCAAGTTCTGTAATCTAACACCTACAACAATCAAACTGTGAGCCTGCCAGCATCCAACATCTTTTTTCTTTACTTAAATGCACCATCCGACATCAAAAGGTTGGCATGACAGGGTCTTAAAATCTGGACAATTTACCTTCATTTTTAAATTTTTTGTAACAGCTGCCTGATGAAGGGTTCTATGGAACACTAAAGTTTGCACAATGTTTTATGTCATTTGGGTTGCTTTCAGTAAAAGATGTGATATTATCTTGTTTCTTTTTCTACAATTTACCATACGACCCGGCAATGATTTTGCTCCACCTTTGGCCCGCAGATGGTGTACCTGAAATTAAGAAAAAGCTAATCAATGTTCTGTTAATAGCTGCTAAAGTGGTATTAGCAAGCAAATGGAAAGCAGACTCCACTCCAACGATGCAACAATGGCTGCACAAAGTCTGGGACTTTTTCTTACAAGAGAAAATCTCGGTCTGGACAAGTAATAAAGATGCTGAACAACAGCTGCTCAACCCCGTGGACAAATGGTACCCTGTTATTAGAGAAAATGAATATAGATAAATTTGACTGGGAACAAATAAGGAAACCAAAATATGAAGGGTTATTGTTCGGCTGATGGTGTAATCCTTTGGTAACAGGGATAGACAATAGGCCGCATCCACTAAGCCAATTATGAATAACCTTGTATCCCACTCAGGGGGAAGAACTTGGAGGACCAGTTGGAGATTTCAGTAGCTTTCAGGTGTTGGAAGGCAGGCATAGCCTATATTTTTAGACCTGAGCATAGGATGAATTTCTGTTTCTTCATTCTGACTTCTTTGTTCTGAGAGAGCTTTCAAACAGCTTGAACAAAAGGACTTTTATAATGAACATAAGGTTTGCTCCCTGTCAGGCTTCAAGATGCAGTAGCAGTCACTTGCATAGGGAACTTGTATTTTAACCTTTTAAATTCATTTTTGCTGAGCTTGTTTTCTGATTTTTACCTGCCAACGTCATGTAAACTTTGATGTACTTTTATTTTTTAAAAAAATCTTGTTTCTTTTTCCGCATTTTGCATGGGTCAATACAGCTGCTTACAACAGAATCAAGCCAGGTTTTCCACTGGCTAGTTATAAGACAGTGTCTGTAACATATTGCCAATGATGTGCAAGGGAGGTCATCAACAGGACAGACATTTGTCTCTAATGGACATATAAGGCATGCCTATAAAGGGCTTTTCCGCCTTCTCATTTTCCTTGCTTGTCAGTTCTTGTTTCTTGGGGTAGGGGTTCAGTTGCACACACATTTTGCTCCCTCTATTACACTGGCTTATGTCAGGCATATCTCCCTGTAGATTTAAACTGCAGGGTTTTTTATGCCAGGCATAAACCAAAGTAATATTGAACTGACCACTAAAAAGAGTAAAATGTGTGTGTAACAGGATCCCCTCCCCAAGAAACCGGAATTTACAAGCAGGGAAAATGAGAATGCAGAAAAGACCAAAGAGTGAAAGGGGCCTCATAATGAACCAAATCACTTTTATTAATGTATTCAAATATATTTCTTATGTATTTTCAACTGGAAAGGAAAACCAGTCCATAGACATTTCTATATCAATCATAAGAACATAAGAGATGCCAATGTTGGATCAGGCCAAAGGCCCATCCAGTCCAACACTCTGTGTCACACAGTGGCCGGAAATACCAGGTGCCATCAGGAGGGCCCCCAGTGGGGCCAGGACATTAGAAGCCCTCCCACTGTTGCCCCCCCCCCCAAAGCACCAAGAAGACAGAGCATCACTTGCCCCAGAGCCCCTATCTATACCTTGTGGCTAATAGCCACTGATGGACCTCTGCTCCATATGCTTATCTAATTCCCTTTTGAAGCCGTCCATGCTTGGAGCCGCCACCACTTCCTGTGGCAGTGAATTCCATGTGTTAATCACTCTTTGGGTGAAGAAGTACTTCCTTTTATCCGTTCTAACCCAACCGCTCAGCAATTTCATTGAGTGCCCACAAGTTCTTATATTGTAAGAAAGGGAGAAAAGTACCTCTATCACATCAGTTTCATGGCTAGTTTGCTAAAACATTTATTACCATAACAAACAAATAATTCTAACAGTAATGGAGAGCAACTTGAAGTCTCGTCTGTCTATTACTCTCTGAATTAGCAGACAAAGTTTTAAGAACTTAACAAAGGGAATCATGATCTATGGTATCTTTTGTTCCGGCTTCATCAACTGCCATCTTTCTACAGGAGCTTGTAATGTAACATGTGATACCTTAAAACCCACTGTTTAAATAGGAATTGTCACACATAATTATTACAGAAACGCTGTAATCATTGTAAGAAGTTTCACTAAGTGTCATGGGAGACAGATCAAATCTGTATCAAAAAGTTATTAGTCAACTACATTGGTGCCCTTTGTAGTGGCCTTTTTGTCCATTATTATATAATTTCATAAGCCTGCAACCTGAATATTTATTTCCCTGTTCGGGAGATTTGACCCTGCCTTGTCTGTCTATTCTTAGAAATCATTTTAGATGCAGTGGCATTAACAATGCCATATCTCGCTAAGTGTATTTTGATGAGACCGGTTAGCGTCAACTTCTACACTCCCATTTGATTTATGACAGTTTAATTCAAGGGCCTTTCTGTGACCTTGGCACCTTCAAAACAGCCTTAATGTTCTAGTTTCATTTAACTTTTTACTGTTTTTTTCCTCACCTTGGTTCCACAGCTTCATTAGCAATCCCTTGCTGCTCCAGTTTTTCTACTCCCTCCCTTTCTGAAATTTGTTTCTCCCACACACACACTTTCTTTTTTCTGAAAAGGCTTCATTTTAAGGTTTTGGCAGTCGGTGCCATTTTGCAGTGGTTCACCCACCTTGTCCTTTTGGGTGGGGTGGGCAACCACACTTAGACTGACAAAACTTCATGGCCAATCAGAAGGCCCCCGCCAAAAGGAGCCAGTCATTGCCTTGCTACCTCATGGTATATTCTCTAGAGCACATTTCAGCATCATGCCTTGGCAAATTCTGTGTACAGTGCAGGTGGGCAAGCCAGGGAGGAGGTAAGGGAGCCAGCAGCCCAATGAGCCCCTTGCAGGTAGGCAAGATGAGGCTTCAGCCCCAACCTCCACTAGCCAAAAAAAGGTGCTTGTATGGTGTACAGGTCTCTCTCACAGAAGCACTTTTGGGGAACTAAATTGGTGCACAGTAACAATGAATGGATCATAAACACAGCAAAATTATTTATAGGTGAACAGAACAGTGCCAGTGTAAGGGTGCTTTGAAGAACCTCTACAATAACCTTCCAAAGCAATATTCCAAAGCAATATTCCCTTAGCCCTGCAATCAGCCATAATCATACCTATGCTGAATTCTTTAGCTACTGTCTGTATTTTAAAAATACAGCCAATGAAACAACTAGTCTAATGCAGGAAAGTGGCTAACCAATCAAGTGGACAGACAGGTAGGCAAGGTACAATTCAGTGTTGGGCTTTGGAAGTAGTGACTGCACAAGCCAATGGAGGCCAATGGGGATATTAAATTGCACAATTGCAGAACAAAACAAACAAAAACCCTGCTCAGAACTGAACAGTTGGTAAAACTAAAGGGCAACATAGACATGGGGAAGTTCCACATAAAAACAGGCAATGTGGAATGATCACCCCAATCGTACTATCCTTGGCGGTGCTCTGGAGGCGAGCAAAATCCAGATCGGTACTGCAGTCTGGATGATGCCACATGAGGAAGCAACGACAGTGTAGCAGTCCCAGAGACTACTGATGCTGTGGGGTAGGATCTGGGCTATTTTTGTTCCGGCTGGCTCCCAAGTTGGCCACGCCCAGCAGAAACTCATTAGCATAATAGGGCACACCCAACAGCAGAAACTCATTAGGACTGGCTACATTAGGGGTGTGTGGCCTAACATGCAAAGGAGTTCCTGCTACAAAAAAAGCCCTGGGTTTTGACAACAAACAAGGTAAACAGAATAACAGGCAAAAAGTGGGTGTGGCTGGATAACCACACTTCTGGTAACATGGGGGTGCGGCCTAATGTGCTAATGAGCTGTGCTGTCAGGTGTGTGGCCCAATATGCTAATGAGTTCCTGCTGTTGGGTGTGCCCTATTATGCTAATGAGTTCCTGCTGGGCTTTTTCTACAAAAAGAGCCCTGGATTGTATCACCTTTTCAAGGACATCCACTCATTTTCTGAGTTCAGAATTTAGCTTTGCCTTTGAGAAACCGTAGCTGCAAAACCTTACCAATAAGTGTATCTGTGTTCAGTTCCAGGGGCTACTGTGGTAGCAGGAAATACTTTGGTAGCAATTGCTGATTTTCATACTACATCTTAAAGTAATCGGTGTAATATTTTATGCTGAATGTCTACTGTTCAGTATAATGCGTCTAATCATTTGCTTCTCTTATATCTGCGTATGTTTCTCTTTTTGACTGCAGTCACCCAACAAACCAACAGTGCCTCAAGAGAAGATAAGGCCTCTCACCAGCCTTGATCATCCCCAGAGTCCCTTTTATGACCCAGAAGGAGGTTCCATTAAGTCGGTAGCCAGGGTTGTCATAGAAAGGATTGCACGGAAGGTACTGGTAAAAAAATGCCAAATACTGACATGGGCTACCAAACCAAGCATCTGGTCCAAATATATGCCAGTCATTGTTTATTTGTTTACTTCATGTATACCCTACCATTCTCCCCAATGGGGATCCAAAGCAGTTTTCATAATTTGCCTCTTCTCGGTTTTATTGAGCCAGAATATGTGGCTCAATGGACCATTGGGGGAGTTTTCAAAAAATATATATAAGGAGCATCAAATAGAAGTTTTGGATTTTACCTCCTGTGTATTTTGGACTCGTGCAAATGTAATGCTCCAGTCTGTTAATTAAAAGAGATTAAGTGATTGGGAGTGGGTTGTGGGAACATGGACTCCCACACTGCCTCTTCATTCCTCTCCATTTTCTACAGTTAAGGGATAAGCTGCCACTGACCTCTACACAAGAAAGTAACCTGGTTCTAGCCAGTTAATGGTATAATAGTGAGATCTCAGAAGAAATTTAGTAGTCAGGGCAAGTTTGGCACTGAGTTTGCAGATCTGATCTACATAAGATTAGCACCGTACAATTGCTTTATTATCTATGTTCAAGGTCTTAGGAAATGTACACTTGGCTTCCACTGACTCACAACTAACCACATGTTTCTCTGACTGCATTAAAGTCACTATATGACATCATATCATAACATCCAATATTTTTCCACCACGAGCAACATTTATATCCAATCATAATGGCATTTTCAAATCTCTTTCATATCTTGGTTTGCCATTTCTCACTCATACTTGAAGGGAGGTTGGGGGGTGTCCCCCCCAGGAGGTCTCTTGGTATATCTCAACATGCAGAACAGCAACCTGAACTCTGAGGCCTTTGCTTGGTAGAATATTTTATGGGGCATAAGCTTAGATGGGTCTTGCAAAAACAGCAGTCCGTCTATAATTGTGAGAGTCCAAGAGCTCAGCTCTTGCTTGTACATCTTCTGGCACCTGATTTCTGATTCCAGTGCCCACAACGATATGATTTCCTCTGCCAACTTAAACATTTTGTTTGCAGGGAGAACAGTGCAATATTGTTCCTGATAACGTTGATGACATTGTCGCAGATCTTGCAGCAGAAGCTTCGGAAGATGAAGGTATTTTTTAATTATGATGTTCTTTTGTGTGTGTGTGTGTGTGTTTTGTTTTATCCTCCAGTTCAGCTACTCTGTATTTTATGCCTTCCACATTAGTATAAAAAAGGAAGAGGAAAAAAACTTTTTTCTTAGCCATTTGTGGTAAAAGCCAGCATCATTATTTGATAAACACCACAGTGATAGTGTCAGCAGGACAATGGGTCAGGAAGTAGGGTTGCCAGACTCCAGGTTGGGCCTGGGGATTTCCCGCTTTTACAACTGATCTCCAGCTGACAGAGATCAGATCCCCTAGAGAAAATGGTTGCTTTGAAGGGGGGATTCTATGGCACTGCACCATGCTGAGGCCCCTCCCCTCCCCAAACCCCACCCTCTCCTGGCTCCATCCCCAAAGTCTCCAGGTATTTTCTAACCCAGACCTGGCAACTCTAGCAGGAAGAATGTGAGGAATTGGAAGAATTATACTAATTTAAAAGAAGCTTTAATCCCACAAACTTTACTTTCCTGTGCTAGTTGGTCTTCATCAAGCTCTTGTATTTCCCCCCATCTAGCTGCTCTTTTTTATTTTTTATTATTATTAATGATTATGTATCTGCAAGGACAACCTGCTCCTTTGTAGGTTTATGCATAGAATTCAGATGAGAGGAGGAATAGGATCAGCTGGTACATATGTTCTAGTGTCTTACCTTTCTAAAGATGATGGAGTGCATTTTTTCAAGTTAAAGGGATAGTTTGTTTTCTGTCTCCCTTCTCTCCTTCTGAATTTTAAGTGAGAGTTCACCACCACCTCAGTCTCATTCTGTCTGCTTTTTCTGATATAGAAGCCATTTCTATGTTAGTAATGGCCTTTGAATGAATGGTATGATGTGATCACCATGGTACATTTATATGTAATTACAAGGGGCGGGACCCGCGATACTCGCGGGGGGGAGGGACCTCCACACATGAGGCAGAGGAGGAAGCAGGAGGAGGAGGTAAGTTCCCCCCATCCTGCCGGTTCATCCCCTGTCTCCTCCACCCCCCTCCACCCCCCCGCTCGATCTCCCCCTTTGCCTTCCCCCCCCTGCTCTGAAGCGAGCTCTTTCGGCTCCGAAGCGAGCTTCTCCGAAGCGCTGCTTTTCCCCCCCGCCGCTGCTCTCTCCCCCCCCCAAGCGGCGGCGGCAAGGGAGTTCGCAGAGCGTTCCCTGCGCATGCGCAGGGGATGCTCTGTCACTTTTGGGGGGATTTAAGTATCCCTCCGGTATTTTTTTCTGGGTTTTTAGATCTTTGTGCACACCTGGGGACTGCCCCAAGTGTGCACAAAAATCTCCCTCCCCCCCAGGTGCCCCCAATGTGTGGATTTAGGTATCCACATGCACGGGGGCGACTTCACTATTAGTATATAGATTTTTTCCTCTCTGTTACTGCTAAAGGTTATCTAAATAATTGCAGAAACAAGTATACAAAAGTGTAGTTTATCCTCATTTGTTTCTTAGCATCAGACTTCCATGTATGAATGGCTAGTGTATCTTCAACTCTTCAAAGTATGGAGAAGCAATACAGGAAATAGTCACCAACAGCTAGACAGAACAAAGCTTTTACATTAATTCATGCTGGAGGCTGTCTGAGGCAATGTTCCCTCTAAGCTGTGGAGTCTTGTGAGCAAATATTCCACTTTGTGAGCTACTGGCATTAAAGTTGTGAGCGAGCAATTTGGCTACTGCATAAATTAGTTTGCTCTGGAGCCATCGTTCCTGAGCTAAGACAAAAATGTGTGAGCCAGAGGCTACAAAACTGTGAGCTAGCTCACACGAACTCAGCTTAGACGGAACACTGGTCTGAGGACAAGAGAACTCATTACTATGGACTAGATGTGAAGTGCATCTAGGGTTTCCAGACACACACACCCCCAGTGGAAGTGGGAGTCCTCCAATTGCCAGACCCCGCACCCTGCCATCAATCAGCTGCTCATATGGCAAAAGAGCAAGGCTGAGCTGATGCTACAGAGACGTGTCTACACCACTTCCAACATGACCCAGAAGTAAAGTCATCACACCAGTGACGTTGAGGTGGCACTCTGGTATTTGGTCAAAAACTCTATGGTAGAAGACAAATTTACCATAGTTTTTTGCCCAAATACCACAGTGTCACCTCGATATTGCTGCATGATAACATCACTTCCAAGTCACATCAGAAGTGACGTAGACACATCGCTGCAGTGTTGTCTGGACCTCCCTCCTGCTCCTGGAATGGACCTGGCAAGTCTACTTCTCTTAATCTTTAAAAGCAAAACCTTCCTTTAAATACATAAAATTCCTTTACATTCAAACTCTATGATTCTATGTTGTACCACATAGCTGGGAAACCGCTATAGATCTGGCCATTTCAGAACACAGAGTTAGCCAGGGCAATAAATTTTATCAGTGTTTAAACAAAATAGGTATTTCAGTGTACCAGTGTTTCCAGATTAGAAGTTTCCTATAGACTAAACCATCTCAGATGGATATTTTTTTATCCATTAAACAAATTTGACTATCATAGGCAAACCAGTTAAGCAGAAAAGGTATGCTTGCTTATTTAGAGAAAAGAATCATGGTGTACAAAGATAGATGGAGAAAAAGGTATTCTGAGAAATATTGTAGAAAATGAGTCTATGCAGAAGGGCATATGTATAACCACAAAAGAGGAGCTGCGGTAGCTCAAGTGGTTAAGACACTGAACTGCAGGCTGTGGAAGGTCAGTAGTTCAGCAGTTTGAGACCCAAGTGTGCCGCATGACGGAGTGATCTCCCGTCTCTAGTTCCAGCTCCTGCCAACCTAGCAGTTTGAAAGCAAGAAATTGCAAGTAGATTAATAGGTACCACTTCGGTGGGAAGGTAACAGCGTTCCGTGCACCTTGGTGCTTAGTCATGCCGGCCACATGACCACGGAAACATCTTCGGACAGCACTGGCTCTTCAGCTTTGAAACGGAGATGAGCACCACAACCCTAGAGTCGGACTCGACTGGTTTTCAAGCAAGGGAAACCTTTACCTTTACCTTTTATGTGTGAGTGTGCAGAGTGTAAGTGGCAGGATATTGAGAAACCACTTTGGGGCGTAAAGGAGATTGTATAACAGAATGTGATGAAAGATGGTTAATAAAGAAAAAGGTGTGGCCAGCATGAAGATGGTGGAGTGGACAACCAAAAGAGTATCAGGGAAGAACTCCACTTTGACTCTTACTGAGTTTCTATTTGTTGTTTTGAAAAGCCATTTTTCATGGTGGCTATTTGTAATATCAATGCAACGAACATGAAATTGCGCCAACTTCAGAGGACGGCGGAAGACAGGAGGGCCTGGCAGGAGCTGGTCCATGGGGTCGCGAAGAGTCGGACTCGACTGTGCGACTGAACAACAACAAACATTGTAATATCAGTATGGAATATTCAGTCTGCGAGACCCGAGCAAGGCTGTTAATGATACAATATTTTGGAGGTCGCCATAAGTCAGATTCATGGGAAGTCAGAAGCGACTTGACAGCACATAACACACATCGTAGCATCTTCAAGCAATAAATTCTGTAGATTAATTATGCCTGTGATTTTTTTTAGATGACACTCCAGAAACCTGCATCTATTCAAACTGGTCCCCATGGTCAGCCTGTAGCTCTTCCACTTGTGAAAAAGGGAAACGAATGAGGCAGAGAATGCTCAAAGCTCAGCTGGACCTCAGTGTGCCTTGTCCAGAAACTCAGGACTTCCAACCATGTATGGGTCCAGGCTGTAGTGATGAAGGTAAAAAAAAAAAAAAAAGAGGAATCGGGATAGGATCCGGGTGATCCAGGTATGCGTCATTTCTCAGCTTAATTCAATTTAGAGAACAAATAGGAATTGTTCTTGGTGTTTCAGATGGTTCCACGTGCATGATGTCTGAGTGGATAACCTGGTCCCCCTGCAGTGTGTCCTGCGGCATGGGAATGCGATCGAGAGAAAGATATGTGAAGCAGTTCCCTGATGATGGCTCTATGTGCAAAGTGCCTACTGAAGAAACAGAGAAATGTATTGTAAATGAGGAGTGCTGTGAGTATTTGATTTAATCGTGAAAACTCTTAATTGTTATGAAGCATTAAATAGACCCCTCTTTAAAAGCAGTGGCGTTTGACTGACCTCCTGCCTTTATATGATGACTAGCTCCTAGCAGTTGCCTGGTGACAGAATGGGGGGAGTGGGATGAGTGCAGTGCCAGCTGTGGCATGGGAATGAAGAAGCGGCACCGAATGATCAAGATGACTCCTGCCGATGGATCCATGTGCAAGGCAGAAGTCACAGAAGCAGAGAAATGCATGATGCCCGAGTGCCGTAAGTGCCTGTCTGTCTGTCTATCTATATGTGATTATGTGCAATAGTCATAATCTGTCAGGGCCTGCCAAAGGTCTACCAGATGCCAAACACTGGCATAGCCCAGTATTAGCACCGTGTTGTGTTGCATTTTCGTAAGTCTCTATTTTCAGTGTAGAAGTTGCCATTAAGGGGGGAAGAATTCTGCCGTGGGGGGGGGATCCTACTCTACATGTGTTTTGTCATGCATGTAAACAAACACTGTTTGCCTGATTTGCTGTGAAAGGAATATAGCCCTGTTGCCTTGGAAATGGTGATGAGTTCTCTCTTCATTCAACAACTGCCCTTTGGCCAAAGGGTGGAAAGACAGTTTTTGCAGGAAGGAAAAATTGTGTGCCCCCCCCCTCTCAGTTCAACACTATCCCAAAGTCACTTTTTGCAAGAAGGACCACTTGTAATAGATTACTATCTTGGTTGCCTTTAGTAAGCAAGCTGACAGGGAAGTTTTATAAGTATTAGTCTGCTTATTTTATTTTTGAAGTTATGTTCTTACTTTATTCAAAGCAATTTTAAAAATACATGTTAAGATACAGTTGCTCATCACATGACCAATTAAAATAATTTCTAATAAGTAACATCAATTAAAATACAAATCAGCACTACCACAGATATTTCTAGTTGCCCTAAACCATACTTCCAACATACATATTACTCTGAAAAACACTCTGGAAAAGACGACTGCCACTCATGCCCTGAGGAAGATTGCTAGTGAAAGAGCTCTCCTGACCTCATCTGGAAGCCCCATCCATAAAACTGAAGCCATTAGAGATAAGGAACAAGGCCTTGCTGCAGAGATTTCAGATGGTTCAGAAGATGTTAAATTTGGGCATGGATCCATTCAGCAACAAGCTGTCCATCAGTTATGTGGGTCCAAAGTCTTGAAAGGCTTTAAATAATTTGAATCTGGAAGTAAATAGGCAGCCAGTGCAGCAGCATCAGAACTGGGGTTGTATGCACACAGCACAAACACCCACCATAAAACAATCAGCTACATTTCATACTCATTGAAACTTCCAGGTTCAAGAAAGAGATCTAAAACCTTAAGTTAAAGGAATGAGTATTTTCAGCATACTGATGACAACCAGAGTCCATGTCTGAAGACAATATTGTTTAATGTGAGGGACTGTGGATCAGTGGTAGAGCATCTGCTTGGAATGCAGAAGGTCCCAGGTTCAATCCCTGGCATCTCCTGTAAAAAAAGATTTGGCAGTCGGTGCTGTGAAAGACCTCTGTCTGAGACCCTGGAGAGCCATCGCCAGTTTGAGTAGACAATACTGACTGAAGGGTCTGATTCAGTATAAGGCAGTTTCATGTGAATCAAGTTCAAAACAGAGAAAACATTGCGTACAAAAATATATAAAGCTAAAGAAGTAGACAACATATGAAAACTCACAAATCTGATGCCTCACAAGTTCATACATAAATAGGAATCAATATAACTGGAAATAAACAGTGTAGGGATTCTCTTTTCTGTATGTCCTAGCTTTCTTTCTCAAGAATTTCATGGGAAAAGTGAACATGTTTGTTATAAGAATGGAGATTGGTTCCAGAAAATAATTTATACAAGGAATTGTTTAAGCGATTCTTGAGAAAGAAAGCTGTAAATGGCTTATACATCCGGGGAGCCATCAGATTTCTTCTCCTGCAGTGACAGGATCGTAGGATCGCTTCTCTTACAAGTAGCAAGTTGTAGAAGAAGAATATTTTTTAGATTATTTCCTTGCAGTAGCCGGACATACAGAAAAGAGAATTCCTGCACTGTTTATTTCCAGTTGTATTGATTCCTATTTATATATGAACTTGTGAGGCATCAGATTTGCGAGTTTTCATATGTTGTCTATATTATGATTATATTTAATTGTTATTTATGATATTTACATATATATATATCACATAAATGCTTTATATTTCATTAAAATTATTTACTTCTTTAGCTTTATATATTTTTGTACATGGTGTTTTCTCTGTTTTGAGCTTGTTCCACCATGGTCCCTATTCTTGTTCACTGGATTCATGTGAACGGCATGATCATTGGTTTTCCTGAAATATAGGCATCATGAGCTAGTAAAACTTTTTGCGATGTAATCACTTTTGAAATCTTGCGTGTGTCAGTTTTATGAGGGGGAAATGATGCACTTGGAGCTTTACAGACTCTCTAAAATATAAAAATCTCCTGCCATTTAATGAGAGAGATGCACAGATCCTCCAGGAAGATATAAAGCCTGATCTACATTAGGATAAAGGTAGGAGCTCAAGCAATGGCATTGTTTTGTACTAATGAATGAGTAGTTCTTCACATTCTAACCTATGTATTTTCTTGTCCCTCTTGTGTGTTTTGCATTCATTTAGTACAGACACTGAAGGCTGCTTAGATTTTTAAAGAGCATTTTCACAGTGCTATACCTCATAGGCTTGAAACTATTCTTGCAATTTGTCTATTTTCCAAGTTATTTCAGTTAGCCGCCATTGTTATTCCTCCATTGATTTAGTCAATCCTCAGACAGTTCCAAAGAATTGCTGTAGACAATTCCAATTTAGACAATTCCAAAGGCACCAAATAACCCCAGTGTTTTTCCTTTGAAAGCTTTAGTTCAGTACATGCTTCTGCTAACACATTTTCTTCTCCAGATGCATGTGACTCTCATTATAGGATCTCTTGTCCTTAATGCACTTTTCTAAAGATTCTGATTTCCCTGCTGTTAACCTTTGTCCACTGCTTGTTTCGGAAGTGATCATTCTTCTCACAAGATTATGAAAATAAGGTCTTGCTGTATCCTACTGTATTAGGTGTTGTTGTTTTTTAATTTGAAGGGTGGATTTTTGTTTTGCTTTGAATTGGTGGAGCATTCAACAATGACATCCCATTTGAGGTTCTGTCAAGCACTCAGGGCTCAAAGTGGGCAGGCTCTAGGAGCTAGAAAGGCAGAAGCCTGAATGCTGAAGCCAGTCAGTCATGGAAGGCTTAAGCCTCCTTGTTACATTGAAAGCTGTTAGTCTGGGGGCACAAAGGGAAGACCTGATGGTTTTCCTTAATGAGATTAGCTAGACTAAAGGAGGGTGAGAGGCAGCAGCTCTGGGAGATCCAGATCAGGTGTCCTTTGACTTCCTGGGACTGGAGGATTGTGTACTATGGTATGAATGCCACATCTGGAATTGAATCAGTATAGTCCACTTGGTGATATCTAGATTCTACCACCTCATTCTGCTGCACCGGCAGACCCCACCTCTAATCCTAGTGAGAGAAGACAGAAAGTAGAGCTTAGGGAAGATGGAGTTAAGTAGCTTATAGAGAGAAAAAGACAAATTCCAATAGTGCAGTGGATTCAGGTGGGTAGTTGTGTTTGACTGAAGCAACAGAACAAAGTTGGAGTCCAGTGGCACCTTTAAGACCAACAAAGTTTAATTCTGGGTATAAACTTTCATGTGCATGTAAGGACTTTTTAGTATTCCATCAATATATTTTCACTTTCCCACTGCTCTATCAGTGTTTGTCTTTGCCTTCTTTCATCTTGGGGGCTGGTGGAGCCCTCTTGTTTTGTTGTCAAATTAAAAGCATCAGCCCAAAGAGACAAGTGGGCCTAGGTTGAATCAGGGAATGATGCAGAGAAATTAATACCATAAAAGGTATGATGGAGCATAGAGATTGACTCCAGAGATACTATACCACTTCACAGGTTAACAAAAAAAAATTAATTTTTTTTCCCCCATGAATTAATCTTTTAATGCATTATACTCCCAGAACAAATTTACTGTGTTTCTAGGAGTATCTGACAGCACCAAATTAAGTGGTGTTGCTTAAGATCACTCTTCTTGGGTGCAAGTTCCCCTCACAATGCCAGTCCAGTTTTCAGCAAGCATTTCACATCCCCTGATGCTTGGATAGCATTTTAAAATTGTTGCTATGTGTGAGCCGGATGGCCCCCAACATTTCTTTCCTCTGAACTAGATACCATACCTTGTATGCTATCTCCTTGGTCTGAGTGGAGTGACTGCAGTGTAACATGTGGGAAGGGGATGAGGACACGACAGAGGATGCTGAAATCTGCGGCTGAGCTTGGAGACTGCAATGAGGAGCTGGAGCAAGTAGAGAAATGCATGTTACCAGAGTGCCGTAAGTTTAGATGTTTGATGCTAAATGTGCCGTAAGTTTAGATGTTTGATGCTTAGAGGTTAATTTAACTCTGCCCCGTCCCCTTTTGCTATTACCTGGCCAATTTAAGTTCCACTTGCTCAAACGAAGGGTTGCCAGCCCACCAGCTGGCAGCAGGTGATCCCATACCACCAGGCTCCATCCCCAGCCACCAATCAGATGGGTGGTGAGGGGACTTACCAGCAGCTACTTACCAGAACTTACCAGGAACACATCCCTCTGCCCAGGCTATGTCACTGGCAATATGGCAACATCAGTTCCAGCATGTACCAGAACGTATTGTCAAGTCCTGGATGCAATCACTCTCACAAACACTCTTGTAGCAGCAAGATTTGTTTATTAAGAGGTAGAGAGGTTCCAAGCATAGACAGCGTCTGTGTCGGAACTGGGTCCCAGATGCCAGTTCTGCCAATATACTGAAAGCAAGAAATTCCACATACGCCAAGCAACCAATCATTGCTCCCATTTGGCCCACTACACGTCTGCCCCTGCCCTCGCAACTGCCCTGAATGCCTGCAAGCTAACGGTTACATTATCTAGAAGCTCCCCAGACTACAAGGTCACTCAGAACAATGACATCATATACTTCCCAAGCTGTTCTCAACAAACTCGGGAGGCCTCTGCGTGATAACTGTTACGAGCTGGCACTAACCAAGCAAAGCAGGCAGCCGTACACATCCACTCCCCCCCCCCAAAAAGTTCCTAGCAGAGATGATAAACAGCAATGAAGAAAAGCAAGGTTGTGTGCAACATAGGAACTGTATAAGAATACATGTGAATCCATAACACAACCAATAGAATAATGAAATGTAGGACAATAACCCCTAATGCAACAGAACATGAGTGTAAGAAACAGGAAATATTTGACAAGTGAGGCCCGAGCTTGACAGTTATACCACCATGTTAGGAATTTGGGGGCAACGCTCTGATATTTGGGCTAAAACTCTATGGCAGAAACCATTTTTACCATAGAGCTTTTGCCCAAATGCCAGACTGTTGCTGCGACATCACTCCATGGTGACATTACTTCCTGTAGATGCTGGAAGTGATGTTGCCATGTTGATGGCAACGTAGCCTCAGCCTCCCTCCTCTTCCTGGTAAGTCCTCTGAAGTAGCCACTGGTAAGTCCCAGTAAGTAGCTGCTCCTGGTGATTCCTCCCCCCATTTTCCCACCGGTTGCTAGGAGGGACCTGGTAACCCTCCTCAAACAAACTGCTAGTCTGACCATCCAATCCTAAACAGATATACCCATATAAGCCCACTGAAGTAAATGGGTTTAGATGGGTGCAATGTTGCTCAGGATTGCACTGTTAACCTGATGGTAACCTTCTATCAACACAGGGGATTCATGAGTGTGCAATTAACAAAACACAGTTCTATACTAAGACAAAATTCCTCTCTAGAGACCAGAGGTTATGAACCATGTGAGACTTTAAGATGTCTTCACTACTGCTGAGAAGTGCTTGAAGTGATGTCAAAGTAATAGTATTTAGCGTTTATGTAGCAAACGTCAAGTGCTTAAAGCCCCACGTGTAATTCTTGTATGATAGGCTACTATTATCATCCCCACTCAAGGAAATTGTCAAGCATCTTGCAACAGACAGCGGAAGAAAGAAGTGTAAGAATTCTGTAATAATCCCTTTATGCAGTTCTGTACCTATAAAATGGGACGGATGGTGCCCACTCTGCAGTGGACAATGTCGGGATCTGTACTGGAGCGCTCCAACAAGCATTTCTCCCTTTTCTCATCCCGAGCTCCATCCAGAGTAATCTAAATTGACTCAAAGTAAAATTAAGGTGTTCTAGTTTTTAACCAAAAAAAATAAAGATTTGATACCCAGCTCTAGTATTATTCTGACACTGTTCGATAAAACTCTTGGGTAAGTTTCACTGTGAAATTTGCCTTGATAACAACAAGAAATGTTACACTAAAAACAGGCGGATCTATCATTTGTCTTTAAGTGCATTTCATTAGCTAAGTTTGCTCTAATAGTATTTCTTTTTCTCTCTGGGCAGCTACTGACTGTGAATTAACTGAGTGGTCCCAATGGTCAGAATGCAATAAGTCTTGTGGAAAAGGTCATATGATCAGGACAAGAATGATTGAAATGGAGCCCCAGTTTGGAGGAGCGCCATGCCCAGAAACAGTACAGCGCAAGAAATGCAGAATAAGGAAATGCTTGAGAAATCCCAGTATTGAGAAAAGGCGCTGGAAAGAGCCTCGGGAGAAAAGGAGAAGCGAGCTAGTAAAAGAAGATGTTGATGGTGAGCAATTTCCAGGTATGTGCACTGCACACTGCTTCAGACAAGTTGCATACCACAGACTATGCCTGAAGCAGAAACAAATTGGTTCCCATCACTATAATACTAAGTTTTCCTGAGTGATAGATCCTGAACAGTCACTGGGAGGTCACTGGAATGCTCAGTGCTTTAAATGTTTTTAAATGTTTTCAAGCAGAGACTGGACGACCATCTTTCGGGTATGTTGTAGAGCTATCTTTCGGCTATGCTCCTGCAGAGTGCAGGGGGTTGGACTAGATGACCTGCAAGGTCCCTTCCAACTCTAACATTCTATGATTCTATGAATTTGGCTTGTTTATAGTATCTTGGACAAGAGGCTAAGTCTATTGCAAAATGGAATTAGAATAAAGCATGTAGTAGGCCCCAGAAGGTAATTTTTAAAAGTTTATTTTAGATCTTTTCCAAAACTTAATTGTGATTTCCCAAAGCCTTCTAGCCATCAACAAAAACCACTCTACTAGTATATGCTATTGATCCAGTAGCAAGACCCAGATAATAAAAAGCTAGGTTAGAAAACAGCAGCCCCTTTGTGTATTAGGCAAAACGAATCCATTCACATGGGCAATGTCTATGATTCAGACTGCGTTAGATGCTGTAGCCAAGATCTATGAGCCACAGATGGATGCTTTAAAATATTTATGCTAAGGAACTCCTATAGGAGCAATCCATAGCCTAAGGAAGCATGCAGTCTAGTCTGTAGAAGTCTTAATATTTGTAGATCTAACCATGAGATTTTAAAAGTTTGGAGTTAGGAGCTGTAATAGAACTATCAATAGTAAGTATAAGGAATTAAGAGGGAGATCTTAGTAATCAAAGTATATCAGTGATTCTCTCTGTCTCTCTCCACTTTCAAAATCCCATCCAGAATAATGTCAATTGATCCTTGAAGCAAATCTCTCTCTCTCTCTCTCTCTTTATTTTTTAGGTTGTAAGATGAAACCATGGACTGCTTGGTCAGAATGTAGCAAACTCTGTGGGGGTGGAATCCAGGAAAGGTTCATGACAGTAAAGAAGAGATTCAAAAGTACTCAGATCACCAGTTGCAAAGATAAGAAGGAATTAAGAGCCTGCAATGTTCACCCTTGTTAGCAAAACCGGAGGCTTTTGAATAATGCACTCTGAGATAAATGTAAAATCAACCTTGATTTGATTTTTTTTTTAAAAAAGATATAAATTGTGTATATTAGTCTTCATTTTTGCAGTGTGGTTTGCTTATTAGTCTTGCTGGTGCAAGAAATATATTTTATAAATATTTCCTCACAACAGAATGCTGAGAGTTGCTCCAGCCAGCCCTTAATGCATAAAACTAGTGACGTCATTGTGAAATCCTATAACCCGGAAATTATAAACATCTCTGTGGACATACCATGGTCATAGAAATATTCCCTGTAAATACATGGGATGCATGCATACATGACATTGCAATCTTAACTATCTATTTGGATCCAGTTTCAGAATATCCAAAGCAGTGCCTCTGTGATTACAAAACTGTGCCAAGGAATTTTTTCAATAATGCTGGTTCAATAATACTACAGGTGCATATTTATCTTTACCATCATGATGTAAAAACTGTATTTATAGCAATTCTCTGACACATTCTTCTTCCTTCCTGAAAATGCTAGGGCCCCCAATAAAATAGCCCTTTTGTTCTTCCCACATTGAAAAGGGAAAGCACATTTAAGTGATTCACATATGAATAGCCCAGTGCATGTCACATGTAAACTAGCCAGCCGGCACATCTTTGCACAAGAGCCTGTGCTGCTGGGTGGTCAAGAACAGACAGGTGAACTCTCTCCATGCAGCTTGGGTAAATGATCCTCAGGAGCTTCAGAGGAAGCCATGGACTTCAAGAAGCGGAATCAACATAAATGTACAATGTATTGCTTAAATATCCACTACAGCAGAGAATTTGTGCACTCTTAAGTTTTGAAGTATCTCAGACCTCATACTGCAGAGAAACACCAAAGAGGAACAGAAAGATTAGATTTCTCCTCTTCATTTCAGAAGCTGTCTTTGCTTTTTTCAGACACAATACAATAACATTTTCACATCAGCCTTCCATTGCAGATTTCATTGCCACTTTCTTTTGTTTCTCTTCATTTGCCTGTCATGTTTCTCAATCAGTATATGCAAAAATAGCTGTCCATCAGAATAAGGATTGGCCCTCGAATAAATTGTGTTCTCAGTAAAGATTTGGATTAGCTCCTCCATTGATCGCAGCCAACCAAAAGACAGCAGCTATGAGAGGAACCGAAGTGGAACTATATTGTTCTTGTGAGATTTTACTTAAATGATGTTTGGTTCTCTTTGGGTTTGTCACATTGAACTCAAGAGGATCCTCTATAGAAGGAAAGCTATTTCTTTCTATCAGTCATACACACTACGTTATTTACCACTTGCAAGTAGCCTCCCAAATTCTCACTATTTTTCTTCTGATAGGCTTCTTCATCCCAGTTTTCAGACTCAGAACTCAGGTTGGCTTGTCAAGGGCATACGTTTATCAGAGTTAGGTCATACCTGTGGAAATTTATTTTCTAGTGTAGCACTGCTATGAGGGAAACAGGTCTGAAATCAATTCCGTTGTGAATAGGCCAAAAGCAATGGAGGGCCAAGGGCCAGAACAAAGGGGTCAAGAGTCCTGTGTGGTGCTGTAAAATACTGAACAGGAATATCATAAAGGAACTAGCACCAGTGTTCCCTCTAAGCTGAGTGAGTGTGAGCTAGCTCACAGTTTTTTAGCTTCCGGCTCACCCATTTTTGTCTTAGCTCAGGAAGGATGGCTCCAGAGCAAACTAACATATGCAGTAGCCAAATCACTCGCTCACAATTTTAATGCCAGGAGCTCAGAAAGTAGAATTTTTGCTCACAGCTTAGAGGGAACATTGACTAGCTCACCTATGAGTCAAAAAGTGCTTCATTCCTTTATGCTGTTTTTGTATAATATAGCAGTAATTTTCCTGGGAAGAGTGCTGGATCTACTGAACTAAGAAAGAATTTTGCGATATCAATAGAGTTAACTGTTCACCTTTTACTGCTTTCCCTATTTGACTGACACGGGTAATTGCTCAATGTAGTTGCCAGTAATTTCTCTAATATCTAATGATAGTATGGTTGGTTGGTTGGTTGGTTGACTGGCTGACTTCAAGAATTCTTATAAGACAGCTTGAAACAGTATTGGCCTTCCAAGAAAATTCAGTTGGTCTCTTAACTTATATCAGGTGAGAACACAATGGTCCTGGTTCATGTTGCTGAGTTTCTGCTAAAAATACAGATAAAAAGGTATTTAAGCTTGTTAATTTTTTTTAAAAAGGAACAGTAGTAGGGCCCCAATCACTTTCAAAGGACTTTACTCATTACAATTTTGTGCCACTGATTAAAATTAAATTAAAACTAACTGTAGCCGAATTGGGGCCTTTGACTTAAAAGGAAGTAAACTTCAAAGCGATATGGAATGCATAAAGTTATTGCAGCGTTACAATAAATCTAGTAGTATATTATTTGCTAGCCACCAGTTACGAACAAACCAAACTTGTTTCCTTATTTAATACATGTTGATCACCTGCCATATTCTAGAGCTGAAAGCACAGGGATGAGCTCTAGGAATTTTATAAATCTCACTTTTCATGTATTAGCATTCTGTTGTTTTCTTTTCTTACATAATCTGTAGAATCTTTACAAGCAATGAAACAAAATATTTGGGGACTTACATGTACAACAGATTTTAATAAAAGCCAGTTGATTTTTTAAAAAACAAAAAGAAATCCTCTTTGTTTTTAGATTTTCTTTGTTGTTGTTTTTGGTTCACTATGGGATTTCTGAGAAAGCTGTCATGAATAAATTTCTTACCAAAGTCTTGTGTAGATGTTTTGTATGTAGTTGTCTCGCTAATACATTATTATTTTGGAATAAAGACATCTTTATTATGAAAACAAAAGGGTTTGAATGTGTTTCTGTTTTCCCTCTTTCATGTTCTGCATGAGAGAGGGTGTAGTGGTTAAGAGCGGCGGACTCTAATCTGGAGAACCAGGTTTGATTTGCCACTCCTCCACATGCAGCCAACTGGGTGACCTTGGGTCAGTCACAGTTCTCTCAGAGCTGTTCTCTCAAAAGCAGTTATCTCAGAACTCTCTCAGCCTCACCTACCTCACATGGTGTCTGTTGTGGAGTAAGGAAGGGAAGGAGATTGTAAGCTGCTCTGAGTTGGGTATAAATCCCAACTCTTCTTCGTCTTCTTTTTCTTCTTTTGTTTGTTTGTTTGGGGGAGGTGATTGTCTTGTTTTGTTTTTGAGTTCAGAGTTTTTAAAATTCTGTTTTTAAAATCTATACTGGTTTTGAATCTATTCTTCTCATTCTTGACCCACATCTCTTCTCATTGGTTATTTTATTTTAGGGTTTACTTTTAAACAGAATTGGGTTGCATTGTACAGTTGTCATGATCTACAATGGGAACCCAGTCAAAAAGTGAGACTCAGAGATAGATGATAGATAGATAGATAGATAGATAGATAGATAGATAGATAGATAGATAGATAGACCAAGAATATTCAGATCATAGGCTGTGGTCACACCAGGGGTCGTTTCATAGAAAAAGAGCTAGGGGAACTCATTAGCATAACTCATTAGTGGTGGACCTGCAAGGCCGGCGGGAGTGCAAGGAAGCCCCACCAAGGCCCTCCCTGGCCCCAGGCAGGAATGGGGAGAGGTGGGGAGGAAGCAACTTACCCTCCCTCTTCTCCTGCCTCCTCCTGGCTGAATGAGGGCCGGAAGCGGGGCGGCTGGAAGCAGGGGGCGGGGCTTCATCGTGTGCCCCGCCCCCCACACCTCACCCGGGGGAACTGTGTTCCCCCACGATCCCCCCGAAATGACCTCTGGGTCACACTGGAGGCTTGGTGCAATCTGGCAGCGGTTTAAATAGCTGATGGAAGTTTTGATCAGACATCCCACCCTGAAGTGACTTCACTGCACACGTGCCCCATGGTCCATCATTCAGATTGTTGCAGCATTCTTTTCAACCATGCACATAAGCGTGTATCCGAAGCTCCAGCTCCTTTTTGACAGCTCCACAATCTCCCTGCCAAGTACTCCAACCTCTTGCGGTGTCCTTCACTTCTCTTCCATGGAATACATGGGGGGGGGGTTTAAAGGGCAGATTTACATGAGAGTAGTCCCATTGATTTCAGTGCATTTATCCTTGTGTCAGTCATGGGATACTCTCAGACTCTGATGCAGAAACAGAAGAGAGGGGTTGGGGGGGATTCGTTGCTCAAAAACAACTCCCGCGGGGACTCCTGATCTAGAATGACTACTTGGCTGAGGTGATTGACAGTGCCAGGGGCGATTATGCACTTATGTCAACATCGCTACCTAATTAAAAAAAAAGGAGGTGGAAATAGAAGGGATGGTTCAGACTTCCCAAGTGGCTCAACTTCACAAGAAGGGAGTTCAGACAGCCAGAAACGTGGACTGGAAGCGCTGGCATCCTAAATACTGGACTTTCTCCAGTGCTTGATTACTCCACTTCCAAAGCGAGACAAAGCTGGGTGCCCATGACTGGGGCACGGTAGGCAGGTGTTGCTGTCTGATCGTGCTCTTTAAATCCACAAAGTTAATACAACTATATCAGCATGAACTGCTCGTGTGACCGCAGCCATTGGGTGCCATTTTCCAATACACAGGAGCCCTTGGGAAAAATTTTGCGTGTGTGTAGAAATTAAGCCCTGATTCCCAGAGAGAGGAAAATAATAAAAGGTTGTAACTTAGGCAGGAAACATAAATGCTATATTGCTACATTATGCAATTACAGAGCATTCAGAAACAGTTAACTTTATGTTGATTTAATTTGCTTGCCCCTTGATAGGCACTCAGAAAATGCCATCACATTTCAACGTTAATCACTGCAGAGGGGAAATGTACATTTTCATCAGTTTCCCACGTAGAAAACAGTAGTTTTACTATGGGATAAAGAGACTTTACCAGTAAACTGGAATGCTCTTAAGATCCTTAGGAGAGGACGTTCTCACCCCTTGTCATTCTTCACTCCCCATGAAAACCCATTTAAGGCCTTTATCGCTAGGCTTTCATTGCTTCCTGCAGTGTTTTGCAGTGTTGTGTGAAACAAAGCAATTACAGTTCACCTGAATGATATTTAGCATCCTACCTTCAGTTTCCTGGGGACAGAACAGTCTGTACCTTAACTGATGCATGCCATTAACTACTCAGTAGGAACTAAGCAAGAATGTTCTTTACATTCACAAGCTGACAACAAAAATCTTGCACTGTTGACTTTTTAGTCTTCAACAACTCTTCCAGGAGGCCCAGTGCAAGACTGTCTTCTCTTCTGCCAGCACCCAAATAGTAAGCTCCAAGGGGTGAGGAAGGAAATCTAGTAAAAGAAATATAGTGTCACACCAGAAGTAACCACAGTCACCATTCAGACATTCGGCCATAGTAGCATGATGGAAGACTAGAACAAGCACCTCCTGTCTGCCACATAGTTTCGGCATGAGCCTGGTCTTCCATATGAGTGCCTGATAACCAGAGAGCTATATCACATGTCCTTTTCTTTAAAAAAAAAAAAAGCACATAAATCAGGTCTCAATGTGATTTTGTGTTCAAGAGAGGACACGTCAGTTTCCACGAGATGCTGTCTACTTGGTTCATAGAAGGGGATCACGACACAGTCCATTCCAAATAATCTATTTAGCTATTTGGCTATTTAGCCTTTTGGAAAAGTTATGACATCTTCAAAGATGCAAGTCTTGTGAACAACTGCTGGAGTCTTTGGGGATGACAAAAATCTGTTTCCCCCTCCCTCCACCGTGCACACACATACTCAGGGCCTGATAGTGACCTTAAAAATAATATTGATGAAACTAGTGCTAATTTGATGGGATCATTTTCATATATTAGCAAGGCATATGTTATTAAAATGCATGTATTATAAAATACTCTGTTTGGTTATTTTACATGGCCCTACTGCGGTGGCTCAAGTGGTTAAGACGCTGAACTGCAGACTGTGGAAGGTCAGTAGTTCAGCGGTTCAAGACCCGGGTGCCGCAAGACAGGGTGAGCTCCCGTCTCTAGTTCCAGCTTCTGCCAACCTAGCAGTTCGAAAGCAAGAAATTGCAAGTAGATAAATAGGTACCACTTCGGTGGGAAGGTAACAGCGTTCCGTGCGCCTTGGTGTTTAGTCATGCCGGCCACATGACCACGGAAACGTCTTTGGACAGCGCTGGCTCTTTGGCTTTGAAACGGAGATGAGCACCGCAACCCTAGAGTCGGATTCGACTGGCTTTCGAGCAAGGGAACCTTTACCTTTTTTACTGCAAGATCAGACCTCACCGCCACAGCTGGAATGAAAACACCAGACACCAATGCATGAGATCAACTATACTCCAAAGTCAGCCAGAGTCACAGTGGGCTTTTCCCCCCTCTATCCTGTTATGGTTTCCATCCTCCAGGTGGGGCCCAGAGATCTCCAAGCAACAGAGATTGGTTCCTCTGGAGAAACAGGCTGCTTTGGAGGGTAGACAGTATCACAGTATGCCCCACTGAGGTCCCCCCCCCTCCCGAAACCCAGCCCTTCAAGTCTCCAGGTAATTCTCAACTCAGAGTTGGTAGCCCTAAATCATGTCTATACTTGTATTGTGAGGTACCCTGCATGCCATTCGGCAGTTAACATTTCAGCTCATCTGCACAAGACAAAGCGAGAACTTCACAAAAAAGAGGGGAATAGTTCAAAGGGA